CCTCACCGGGTTGGCGTGAGGATAAAACAGAGGAGAGGGGAACAGCGTAAGCTGCTTTGGGTCCCCATCGGAGAGAAAGGCAGGATATAAAATAAATAAAATAAATAAATCCCCTCCTTTTCTCCAAGGAGATCAGTTCTCCGCCTTCCCATTTTATCATGAAAACAACCCCTTCCAGATTGGTGAGGCTGAGAGAGACTGAATAACACAAGATTCCTCAGTAAACGTCTTGGCGGATTTGAACCCAGCTCTCCCCGATCCTAATCCATCACTCTAACAGCCGTGCAACCCTGGAGTCTCCCTGAAAAACTGCACCACTCTATTAAGATTACTTGACTATCTTCAAAATCCCACAAATTTTTTTAGCTGAGCAGTAAACCCTGCAAATTTGAGATGGCTTTGGAGGTATGGTGGATGAAAACCAGATAGCAAATTAGGTGGCTATCACCCCGTCCATTAAAGAAATGCTTAGATAGATTCGTTCGACTTCCCTCAAAATCCCTGCAGATTTTTTTTAAAAAAAATCTGGCATGTGGCCCTCCAAATGCACTTCCAGTTTCCCCTTTGGTGGAAACAGCTCAAAATGTTCCAGAGAGTAGCTGTGTTGGTCTGCACTCTGCGTTTTAGAGTCCCACAGGGCACATCTAAGATAGGGTTGCTATAAGTCCATCCTGGCAACTGGTGGGGAAAGGGGGGGGACTTACTGGAAGCATCGGGGAGGCTCAGCCAACACACAGCGACATGTTGTGTCACTGCCCATGTGACCCGGAAATGACATCATCACATCCAGACTGTGAGGGCAACGCTCTGGTATTTGGGCAAAAACGCTACAGTAAATTTGGCTTCTGCCATTGAGTTTTTGCCCAAATACTAAAGACATCCTGGATGCAATGACGTCATTTCCAGGTGACGTGGGATGTGATGTAGACATTTCATTGCACATCGGATGGTTCTTCCTTTTGGGGGGTAAGTTCCCCCCCCCGTCGGCCAGCTGATTGGCGGTGGGAAGGTGGGGCCTTCCAGTGGGGGACCCCTGCCTCCCCCTGGCAACCCTAATCTAAACCTGTTGAAGTCAATGGGCTTAGAAGTACACCGTTGGTCTTCCACCATGATTCAGAGCCCCACAGAGATTTTTCCATGCTCTCTAGCTACCCTGTTTATTCCAACAGAAAAAAAGATATGAAATGAATGGGGTAACTTGAACATTAAAACATATGTGGGGTTTCACAAGAATGAAGACCCATGAATGCAGATGTTCCATGTACAATTCGGTACTCCCATTTCAGCCGTGAAATACTCGGATCGGGGCCCACAAACTTTAAGAGGAAGAAAGGCATTAGAGTTTTAATTATCGGTGTTTCACACTGTTTGCTTTAACATTACCCAACGAACAGTCCTAGAGTCCGACAACAGGGGAATGAGCGAGTGTGGTCTGACTGGATGGGTAGGAGTCAACGGTAGCTGAGCGGATATTGCTAATTAAAACGGTTAAAATAGAATAGCATTTTAGGGACACAATGGGCTGTAAACTTCCTTCCTATTAATTGAACTCAATGTAATGACATATTGGAATGAATAGCTAGTGATCTGGAAATTCATTTGGACCATTAGTTTAATTACAGAAACTGATGGAAGTTTTCTTAAGACAATTATGGAAAGAACTGGAGCAGTGTGGGATAAATTTAGAAGATTCTGAAACCACCTAAATCTCCTTTTTTTCTTATCACCCCCCGCCCCGTTTTGATGAATGTCCATAGATTATGCTGTAGGCAATTCCTCTTGATCCAGAGATTCGAGACCTGATCCAGAGATTCTCATGGATCCACACAAACCATTCTGTTTCTCATAAGGATCAGCAAAACTATCAGATGGTCAGTTGGCTTGGATAGTGCTGGGTATTAGGGATGTGTTTCTTTTCGTACGATCTCGCTGGTTGCCTCCATGCATCCCTGGATATTGCACTATCGATGTGCAATAGCAACCATTCCACCCTGAAATCCCCACAGAATGACCACTGCAAAGCCATCACAGCACAACATCCAATGATGTGCAGGCACGCCCCCCTTGTGAGACGTTTTGGTTGGCCTGCTTTCATTCCAAATCGATTTGTTCCTCTTCCATTGCCTGCCACTGATGTGCAGTGGGTGATGGGGAAAATTTGGCACACAAGCATTGCAGAGAAGAACACACAAGTTCTTTGCATGTGGTGGAGAAGTATTGTGTATGTCTATGCCCTCAAATTTCAACTTGACTTATGGTGACCTTGGTAAGGGGCGTTCAAGGCAAGTGAGAAGCAGAGGTGATTTGCCATTGCCTTCATCTGCAGAGTCTTCCTTGGAAGTCCCCCGTCCAAGTACCGACCCTACTTAGCTTCTGAGATCTGACAAGATCAGTCTATACCATGCTGCCTTCCCTGTGATATTGCATATGGTACACAACAAAACTCAACTCAGAATTGGCACTATTTTGGAATTATTTTGCTTCTGTGCTTACAAAATATCATAATGTAGTCTTGGGTCCTTCAACTACTAGCAGGGGTCATTTCGTACAAAAAGAGCTAGGGGAACTCATTAGCATAACTCATTAGCATATGCCACACCCCCTGACAACAGGGGCCCGGCGGTGGACCTGCAAGGCCAGCGGGAGTGCGAGGAAGCCCCGCCAAGGCCCTCCCTTGCCCCAGGCAGGCAGGGGTGGGGAGAGGCGGGGAGGAAGCAACTTACGCTCCCTCTTCTCCTGCCTCCTCCTGGCTGAATGAGGGCTGGAAGCGGGGCGGCCGGAAGCAGGGGGCGGGGCTTTGTCATGTGCCCCGCCCCCCGTACCTCACCCGGGGGAACTGCAATCCCCCGCGATCCCCCCCGAAATGACCTCTGACTACTAGACTGACCTTAGCCAAAGTGTGGAGGCAGGTGAAACTGCCCAGGAAAAGGATCTCACTGAGAAACTGAAGGATCTTCACTAGTTGGCAAGACTAACTGCACTGTTTAATAAAAGGGAGCCTGATGATGTCTTGGATGAGGAGTGGATGAGGACTGCAGGCCACATGGGAAGTTTTATGGTCAGGGAATGAATCTGAGTTCAGTTGTTACAGTGATCTTATAGCTACATGTCATAAAATATTCCAACGATATGTTGTCAACTTTTGTTTAGGTTTGGATGCTTATATGGTTAAAATGAATTGTGAAAGCCTTGCTTTGGAGGAGGAGGAGAAGGAGTTGGAGAAGAATGCTATGATAGTGACTCAATCATCAAGAACCGTGGGAAATGCAATCTTCCAAAGTTCTCAGTGGGAACAATTGGAATCCAGAGGACCCAGTTCTAGTAAGGAGGAGGAGGAGGAGGAGATTGGATTTATACCCTGCCCTTCATTTGGCATCTCAGAGCGGCTTACAAACTCCTTTCCCTTCCCTACAACAGACACCCTGTGAGGAAGGTGGGGCTGAGAGAGCTCTCTCAAGAACTGCTATTGAGAGAACAGCTCTGAGAGAACTGTGACTGACCCAGGGTCACCCAGCTGGCTGCATGTGGAGGAGGAGGGCGGAATCAAACCCAGTCTACCCCAAACAGGCTCTTCCAGGTCAGCCCAGTTCCTTCAGTTGCTGCAACCGACGGACCTGTTTCGATTGGACACCAGTGAAAGGTTTTTTCACCAGGAACGGGGACGTGGGAGAGGTCAGTGGTCAATGTTTCTTTGCCCTGCACACCAGCACCTTCTCCACCAGAAACAGCTTCGTGGTGGCATACGGAGGTTTCAAACAACTGGTCAGTGTGAGCCAGAAGTGCTCCTGTGAGGGAGAGAATGGCGGTTGTCCTCCCTGTGGATTCCTAAGACACCCACCCAGGCGACTTAGATTACTGTCGTTTCCTACTAGAGAATACCTTGACCAAGGCTGATTACGTATGCACTCGCATGCATGCAAATCTCGAATAAAAAGACTGATGTTCTCTCTCTCATCTCATCAGATCCATAGCAATGGCAACGATATAAGCAACGTGTGAAACTACGTCCAGCTGGATCAAGCAGAAGCATTGTTTGCTTTGGGGAAGGAGAGATTCTCGGTGTTTGCTGGAGGGACGCTGCTCTTCAGGGCATCAGCAGCACAGGAGGTGACACTCGTCTCCTCCTGGATCCATGCTGCTACCATCCAGCTCGAAGTGGAACATCTGCAGTGGGTACCGGGAGTAACAAGACACCTAGAACCATTGCTGCTTTCTAAGAACACCTCCCCCTGTCAAAACTGGTGTGCACACAGACCCTTGTTTCCCTAAGCCCAGGCTTCCCCACCTGTCCTTTTCACCTCGTGAGGTTCCCCCGCCCTCGAGACAGGGTCCCAGCCTTCTGCCACATAAGAACATAAAAGATGCCAATGTTGGATCGGGCCAAAGGCCCGTCTCGTCCAACATTCTGTATCACACAGTGGCCAGAAATACCAGGGCCATCAGGAGGTCCACCAGTGGGGCCAGGACATTAGAAGCCCTCCCACTGTTGACCCCCCCCCCCCAAGCACCAAGAAGACAGAGCATCACTTGCCCCGGAGTCCCTATCTATACCTTGTGGCTAATAGCCACTGATGGACCTCTGCTCCATATGCTTATCTAATTCCCTTTTGAAGCCGCCCATGCTTGTAGCCGCCACCACTTCCTGTGGCAGTGAATTCCAAGTGTTAATCACTCTTTGGGTGAAGAAGTACTTCCTTTTATCTGTTCTAATGAAGGTCAATTTCCTCCTCCTCGGAGTATTTGTGATCGTTCCATGACACCACTGCAGCAGCCTGGCCTAGAGCTGGTTGCTTATGGGTAGCCGGTAATACTTAAAAACCTCATCTGCAGCCATGCACAAGCGTTTCAGTCACCTCTCCCTCGATATAAAACATTTATCTAGGCAAGGGCTACGGGGAGAGGCTTGCATTGTTTGTTTGTTTGTTTTTAAAAAAGTATTAACTGGGGCTTGATCGACATTCACAGGCAAAACAAAAGAGAGAGCCATAAGACTGTCTTACTTGTGGATGTGTATACTAGTGAACTGGGGGCACTGTACACGGGAGATCCCTCCTGGTTTGCCTGGCACAGCAGCACCCTGCCTATGAAAGAGAGAAAGAAAGAGAGGAATAGAGTACGGTCTGATATCGGGAAAACTCAAACTAGATCTTATTAAAAAAAAAAAAAAGCCCTCTCCCAAATGTGACAAAAAAAGCCATGAAACTGTTGACATGCCATGCCGTTGACCGCAAGCAACCACAAAAAGGCCCCATACACATTGATGTTGCACAGATGTAGCAATATCAGCACACTGGTCACTCCCCTCCAAGACAAAATATGTTTTAGTTTCCAGTTGGGAGGCCGGCAGAGCTGCTGGCCTGCCGGCAGCGGCCGTCGCGGCTTTCTCCCCATCCCTTTCCACTCCCAAGTAGAGCCTACCAAATTCAACCTGTTGCCGATGGAGGAGATACGGACCCCCCTCCTGCCCAGAGAACTATTCCCATCTCCTTGAATCTTCTTTTCAGCCAGGATCAGAATTGGCCCAATCCATGGCGCGGCCCAGATGGAACATCCACCACAAGAGGTGAGTGAGCAGAGATAACAGAATCCCTTGGAAGAGGGGAAGATGATCCATTGTGGCTGATTCCATCTGAAAGAGGAAGCTCTCACACCTGAGACCCATCTTGATAGTCACCATGACCACATGAAGCAGATGGACAGTTGGCCGGCCAGAGATTCCAAGGTAATGGGAAGTTTCTAGCCAACTGTAACTTCTCAGTCAAAGTGCCTGTCTCGGAACAAGATCAGCTAGGGCATTTATAGGGCTGGGGGACAGAGGGTCATTTACAGAGGGCCAAAAAGGAGTGATGCTTACAGGCCAGAGAGGCTGTTCAACCACACCCCATGTTGCAGATGAAGTGGTGAAAGGATGTAGCTTTCGGTCTCATTGGGAATCCTCTCTCTTGCTTCCCTTGCCTACCAACCACATTTTAATCCCATCCTTCCTCCAAGAAGTTCAAGGCATCTTACATTGACCCCACCTCTGAATTGTATCTCCATAAAGCCTCATGGGGTTCATTAGGCTGACATGGAGAGTGACTGGCCCCAGATCACCCAGTGAGCTTGCTGGCAAAGAAGGGATTTCAACACAGGGCCCAATCTACCATCTTAAAGAAGGGTCAGCCGGTTTGTTGTAGTGGTTAGGAACGTGGACTCTAATCTGGGAGAACTGGGTTTGATTCCCCACTCCCCTACATGCAGCTGCTGGTGTGACATTGGGTCAGTCACAGGTTCTCTCAGAGCTGTTCTCTCAGGAGCAGTCCTCGAAAGAGCTCTCTCAGCCCCACCGACCTCAGAGGGTGTCTGTTGTGGGGAGGGGGAGAGAAAGGAGACTGTAAGCCTTTCCGAGACTCCTTCGGGTAGTGAAGGGCAGGGTATAAATCCAATTTCTTCTTCTTCTTAACACTGGGTCTCTGGACTTCCTGGTTCGGAGCTCAGACTGTGGGAAATTCTACTTGTGTATTTCCAGATGATAGCCTGTACCCATATTTCTCCCTGCCCCTGTGCACAAGCAACATATACTTTGCTTTCCCCCTTACTATTGATGGCTTAATTTAGTGATTTATTTCCTCCCTCCTTTCTTAACAGTTGGTTTTATTAACCACCAATTCCGAATTCACAAACAAGCCTGCTAATGAAGCCAACTGTTCCTTATTTTGCACCGGGAGCCAAATTTATATATAATTTAACAATGAGCGTCCCCAGTCAATTTTTGCTTTACTACCTACTGCAGTTCTGTTAGGATTAATTCTAATGAAGGTCAATGTTTCTCAAGGTTCTTCACACTGGCATTTAAAGTGGGGGGGGGGGAATGCTCCGATTGCAAAAAAAACCCAGGGGGAAAAATATAATTATTTCACAGTGAGATCCCCGGGGGGTGGGGGAGCCTGTGCATTTGATTCAATTTAGAAAATCTTAACAAAATAAAAAATGCCCACATATCCCCCAGAACATACAACCAAGCTGAATACAACACCAGTTCCTTCATTTTCTGGTTCTTTTGCACATCGGTGGATGTTAACAAAAGGTTCACTTCTTTTGTTTTTAAAGGGTTCCAAACCACTGCAGCATCGTATCAGGTTCAATCTAAGGATATACAACAGGGGTCCTCAACCGGGTGCCCGCCGACACCTTTTCTGGCACTCACTGTATAGATTAAATGGCACCCTGTTCAACTGAGCATCAGCCTGTATTGTTGAAGGGTTACTGTGCTTTTAAGAGCAATAGAACAAAGTTTGAGTCCAGTGGCGCCTTTAAGACCAACAAAGTTTTATCAAGAATCTGAGCTTCCGTGTGCACGCACACTTCCTCAGATACACTGAAATGGGAGGTGACAGTTCATTGATATATGTAGAGGGCGCACAGCAAATTAGCATACAGCATAATGCCGGTGTTTTAACAGAGATCACAGGTATCCCTATAGGATATACAACCAGCAAGCAAACCCTGTGATATGAATGACGGTGGCCTATTATGCTAATGGGTTCCTGCTGGGCGTGGCCATCTTGGGAGCCAGCTGGAACTCCGTTCCTGTGCGTTCCTGCCCAAAAATAGCCCTGGACTTAACTTGTTAAAACACCAAACAAGCAAACACTGTGATATGAATGACTAGGACATTTAGTGTGGATCGTATCATATTATATATATAACTATATTATATTTGTAAATCATAATTATTAATTATTAATTTGTAAATTTACAAATTAATAATTAATAATTATGATTTACAAATATAATATAGTTATATATATAATATGATACGATCCACACTAAATGTCCTAGTCATTCATATCACAGTGTTTGCTTGTTTGGTGTTTTAACAAGTTAAGTCCAGGGCTATTTTTGGGCAGGAACGCACAGGAACGGAGTTCCAGCTGGCTCCCAAGATGGCCACGCCCAGCAGGAACCCATTAGCATAATAGGCCACACCCAAGAGCAGAAACTCATTAGGATTGGCTACATTAGGGGTGTGTGGCCTAACATGCAAAGGAGTTCCTGCTACAAAAAAAGCCCTGGGTTTTGACATCAAACAAGGTAAACAGAATAAGAAGCAAAAGGTGGGTGTGGCTGGATGACCATACTTCTGATAACATGGGGGTGTGGCCTAAGATGCTAACAAGCTATGCTGTCAGGGGTGTGGCTGGATATGCTAATGAGTTCCTGCTGTTGGGTGTGGCCTATTATGCTAATGAGTTCCTGCTGGGCTTTTTCTACAAAAAAAAGCCCTGGTTAAGTCTATATGGTCACCATTTGTTTGGATTTAATGGGGGGGGCAGTAAATATGTCACAAATAGGAGACTGATTGTGTAAAAGTATCCTTCCTAATTGTGGGGCGCTAAGAACCATTACCTGAGACCACGTTGTTATGCTCCGTTTGTTACCTCTCAAGCATGGAGGTAACTAACGGCATCCTTTCCTTTGAAGTGGGGTGAATTCTACATCTCCTCTGCCACCAGATCAGAGGAATCCATCCCAATATCCATTGCATTGTATTATGATCACTATTCCAATTGTGTCAGAATTCCAAAAGTGCCCAAAGGCTCAGAAAGGTTGGGGGCCCCAATATACAGAACCTGGGCTGGTTGGTACCCCCTTTCCCAAAGACACAACTATTGCCATCTTCCCTGGAGCTACTAGTTCAGAAACTGCTGCTGCTTGTTAAAGGGAGCCATCTTCTGTCTTCTGCATCACTAGATGCTAGGAATGAGCTGGACTTCTGTGGGGCACATTGGGGGAAGTCGGCTGTATACCCAGCCCTGGCAAGAACCACCTCCAGAAATTTCTTACTTTGCAGTCGTTTCAGATAGCAGCCTTGCTGGTTTGCAGTAGAACACCTAGATTCAAGTCCAGTAGCACCTCAGAAACCAACAGGATTTTTTGGACATAAGTGAGGGAGCTGTTAGGAGCGCGGGACTCTAATCTGGGAGAACCGGGTTTGATCCCCCACTTCTCCTCATGCAGCTGCTGATGTGACCTTGGGTCAGTCATAAGTTGTCTCAGAGCTGCTCTCTCATGAGCAGTCCTCGAAAGAGCTCTCTCGGCCCCACCTACCTCACAGGGTGTCTGTTGTGGAGAGGGGAAGGGAGGAGATTGTAAGTCGCTCTGAGACTCCGAGTGAAGGGTGGGGTATAAATCCAATCTCTTTTTCTTTCTCTCTCTCTCTCTCTCTCTTTTGAGAGTCAAATTCCCCTTCAGTAGGGATGAGATACCCCCTGCAAGTCCTTACAGGTCCCCCACTTGTAGCATATAAATAATATTAAAATTAGGTATAAACCAACCCCCCCCCCCAAAAGATACAGAATACCAGCAATGAAAAGGGCAAAACAAAAATGACCACCTACAATAAGGGGGGAGCGCCTATTCAACCATTCCTGATCTCCAACTCCCTCCCCCCCCCTTAAATAAATTTATCCTAGGGTGCCATTAATGAAACAGATTATGTTGTTTTCTAAATACAGACAGATTAACCCAATATTGTTTAATATTAGTTATGTTAATTATACATAGATGTTTGTTTCAAAGCATTAAAAAAAATAAAGCTGTTGCCATTGTTTTAACAAATGCAAGTGTTCAAGTATTATCATACAAATGTTAAAAGAAAAAATCCCAGCTAGATTAACAACTCCGATGATGGTTAATGCATTCCTAAAACTTCTGAGGAGCTGTTACAACCCATTACGGCTGAAATATTGGTGTATGAAAAATTAATAAAGCCACCAGAAAATGGAATTCAGCATCTGTACTAGCTATTTACACAGAAAGAATCACCCAGAATTAATTACGCCCCGTGTTACATTCTAATGAGTTTTTCATTAAAATGTACACTATTATGGAAACTAAACAAGGATTATTCAAAGAAAAATGCCAACAGCTGTTTTTTTTTTTTTTTGAGAGAGAGAGAGAGAGAGATTAAAATTAGTTAATTGGTTATACATTTAAATCTAGCGTAGGGTTAATAGGAGACTATTTATCATTCTGTTTGTCTTTATGTTTGGTATGGGAACTGATATATACATGACTACAGCTAGCCTTCGGTTGAGAG